GCAAAGTATGAGTTACGTCGAACTTGCATAGAATATGAACTCTTGAGCGAGACTTGGGCAGACGTACGACTTAGGCGACTGTACGATTTATACAAATCAGACTTACGTGAGCTTTGCTGTACTATATGTTTGATCCAAATGTTTGTCTGAAGGTGGGATACAAATGAAAACAGAGCTGCAAAACAAAATATCGACAATAAAACTTCTGGCAGAAAACATAAACATGTAAAATACAATTATATGTGGAGTCCTGTAGCTCAGCGGTTAGAGCACTCGCCTCACAAGCGAGAGACCTGAGTTTGATTCCCGGCAGGATGAAATGTTGGGCAAGTTTCCTTACTGCTCTGTTTACCTAGCAGTAGGAACTCGGTTGTTAGTCAATTGGCGGATCGCTTTTCCAGGGATAATAATCCTTAAAAAAAAAAAAAATTTGTCTGCAATATTTAATAATAATAATCACTCAATCCACGACTGTTTGTAGGACACTGCTGTGCGCAATTGGCTGCCGCGTTTCGCTCACAAATATACAGTCAATTCACTTTACAGTCTATTCTGTGAAGCGCTTTGAGACGTCGAGAAGAAGTGAAAAGCGCTATATGAAATGCAACTATTATTATATATTTATTGTATTTTATTCCATATACCCCTGAAGTTGATTTGATACTGATTTTTGTTGGATAATAATAATACAATAATAATCCTTGTATTTGATATAACACCATTCATATTGAGAGGACGTCTCAAAGTGCAGAATTCACAGAATTCACTGTAAAGTGTAGTGACTGTGTAATTTGTAGGTGAATGCGGCAGTCAATTTGTGCACAGCAATGTGTCGCACAAACAGCCACGAAGTGGACACCATTTTTTATCTGGGAGTACTGTTGACTGGGACAGTGGGAGAAACTGCTTGTTCTTTTGAAATAGTGGCTTGGGATCTTTACCGTCCAACTGATCAAGTGAATGGTTTAACGTCTAATCCAAAAGTCGATGCTCAGACAGTATAGGACTCCCCCAGCACTGTATTGTAGTATCAGCCCACCCTACACTAAGTGAGTTTAAAATCATGGTAACATGGGGCTTGAACCCACAATATTCTGACTAAGAGGCGAGCGAGCTTATTGACCGAGCCAGAATGGATCCTGTATTCTACAACTGTCCATAGGAACTTTTTTTTCCCTTAAAATTATTTGCGTGTACGCACTACTTAAGCCCAAGTGAAATCCCCCTGGCGTAAAATGAAACTGAACCAACAGTACACAAACCTGTCCTTGCACGCACAGATTGGTATCGCAAATATGCTTTCCCTGCTTTTCAATCAATTGCAAGCTTGACTTTTAAGATTGGAATGAAGATGCAGAACCAGATTGAGGAAATGATTGGCTAAAAATTGGTTTTAACAGAGGAAACTCAGTGACAGTGTATTTAAATCCTGTCTGTCGCTGATTTCCGCTAAACAGCGGTAGTAAGCGGTAAGTCAGCCAGTGTTGCTGATCATTATACAGTAAGCATACTGTAGGTGTGCGTAGGATGACAACAGGATCAAGCTTGCTTTTGGTGTTCTCAAATAGCTTTCTGAATCTATAAAGAATCGTCAAGGGTGAGGTACAGCAGGATGCACGAAAACCTGGAATCGAATGTCGACAGGGGAGAGAGAGGATGGGAGAAAAATCGTGAATGGCACCGACAGTGAAGACAAATTGCAAAGATAAAAATCATTCGCCAGTTCTTCCAAAGATTTCAGCAACTGACAACAATTTACATGTATACAGCGCCTTGCACCTCAGGAGGACATCTCAAAGCATTTTACACATTTGACTGGAGGCGGGAGGTAAAGAGAAAGGGAGGGAGGGGGGAGGGAAGATGAATGAAATTTCAGTCTAAAATATAGATCTTGAGTAGATGGGGAAGGAGAGGGAGAGGTAAAGGTGAGATTTCACCATTGCATTTGTTGTTGCTTTGGCAACATGTCAATGTTGTACTGTATTGTGTAATGCCTTTCGCATCAGAAGGACGTCTCAACGTGCTTCTCAGGTTAAGCTGTAAAGTCTAGTAACTGTGTATTTCGTAGGCAAAGGCGGCAGTCAATTTGCGCACAGCAATGTCCCAGAACAGCCATGACGAGAATGATTATCAGCAGAAACTCCCTTCTCTTTTCGAATAGGGCCAATGGGATCTTTAACGTCCACTTGAACAGGCGGATAAGATCTCACTTTAACATCTACATCTGAAGGATGACACAGGGAACAATTCAGCGTAATTCAAAGTCTCGAAGGAGAATTGAACCCGATAATCTTCCTTGAGGCGAGAATGCTACCACCTGAGCCAGTATATATTCCCTCACATTAAAACAAGACATAAACAAGAGAATATTCTGTGGGCAAAACGCGGCAGCCAACTGCGCACAGCAGTGGAAATGCATTAAACGGAATTAAGGCACTTGCACAGAATGGAATAGCTGCTTTGGGGAACGTCCGAGCAACCAGTGATTGCAGGATGGGTG